GTAAATCTTTATGGGGCTCTTAAAAAAAGTATTGATGAGAATTTAGATATCTCTGAACTCACTTGGAAAAATCCAATCGCAAGTACGGTTCTTAGTGATGAGCTGGATATAGTTAAAAATCTAAATCAAAGACAAAGACGTACTTTTATGGTAAAGATAAAAATATAATCTAGTTGCTTTGTAACAATATATACCACGGTATCCTTTTCTTTTATCATCTTGAGTGGCCTTCACTGAAATAACAATAATTTCTATTATTATCTAAGAACCTCGAGAGAATATGAAGTGTGGAGTTTCTCGATTAATTTCTTCTAGAGTTGACGAGTTCATAGAAAACTTTAATGAAATAGATAATTCTGACCATATTAGAAATATTATGCATGATAAAACATGGAAAGAGGATGAGTTTGAATTATTAAAAACAGCGGAACGAATACTTGGTATATTGTAAGTAACTAGATATTCACCAATCTCCGCAACTTCACTAATTTATATTTGTAAATTTAGAGGGGACATATGGTCTAATCCGACTTTTATTACAAGTACAACTCATAGTATACAAAGTGAAGGGACTTACGTTACAGATGTAATCATGCCATTACTTCGAGCTAGTTTAGGTAACTTACCAAATGGATATATCTGTTTGAGCACAGCCGAGCGTCAAAGTTTAGCGAGTAAGGTATGCAGAAATGATGGTACGGGTAAAGTGAAAATGGGGAAAAAATCCAATATTATGGCTCTAGAAAATTGTGATGGGAAATTGGTGGAGTTTTTATATGTAGAAAGTTCTCGCATTGTCTGTAGTGCCACTAAAAAAATGGATGATGAGATAAAATTATGGCGAGAATTATTGGATGGGAGTAGTTATATAAGTTCTGTATGCAGACCTATTTGTAATCAATTTGGTGTGGTCGGGATTCAAGTAGCTGGTGAGAAAATTTATTTAAATATCCTTATTAACGATGCAAGCGGAATACCAAGATACTTCCATCTAGAACACGCAGAAATTCCATTAACTTCAGAGGTAAGGTGACATACAAGAGCCTTAATAAGATTACTACTAACCTTGAGAAATATTATAATTGTGAATAAGAATTTGCTTAAACAAGCAATGAAACAAGCTGTTTCACATCCACCCTGAAATACTTTCCCAAGTCCTACCGTCACTACACCGGAATATGATTATCAATAGATTTTTATATATGATCAAGAATTTTTCTGAAATAATTTTCTTGACATTTTCTAAGACCGAACAATTGAAATTAAGTTCCAGAAATTTTTCTTGAAACAAATTTTTTTCACGGAATCCTGTAATTTTATATGTATTTTTTATCGTATATTTATTAATAAAGATTTTTGGTTAGAGGAACGTACAACATATCATATGTTATTTTTTGTGTAATGTATATATGATCGAGAATTTTTCTGATCGTGATCAAAAATAAGGAAAATGATTACAGTAAATATTATGTGACTTCAAACTTTTGCATTATTCACTTTGCCAAAGGCAGTCACACAGTGACTATATAGTTACATATCGGAAAATTAAATCACAGATAATGAGATGTATTACAAGATTTTTCATACCCAATATGGATTCATATGCCCGATATAGATATTACTTAACTCAACCTTTTGAATATATTAGTAGCTTATATAAAACAATGACAAGTACTTAATCCGCAATTGAAATGTTGAGAGAATTGAATTCCAAGCTCACATCCCAGATTGTTAAACTTAGGAAGGAGAATGCTGAAATTTCTGAACTTAGAAAAAAATTTTTTGAAGTTGAGGCCGAGAACATAAAACTTAAAGCTGAGAACGTAAAATTAAAACAAGCCTTGAAAGAGCATGAATTCAGATTTATAAAACTGGTGCAGAATGATAAAGATACCACTTCGGAAAACGCCAAACTTAAAGCTAAGGTTGTGAAACTGGAACAGAAACAGTTACAAACCGACGAAGAAAAGAGCAACCGTATTATATTACGAAGTAATGACCATGCCAGCTCTGCTGATGCTCCCACATCTAAATTGAATGATGATACCAGAGAAATCAGACCCAAAGGGATGGTCTTAAACGATCATTAACCTCTAGTTAATACTACCTCTATCGAAACGGAAAATTCTAACGATACTCCTGAACAGACAAACTTACGCTGTGATAATACTCTTGTAACTAATATATTTGACAACACTTCAAATTCTGATATACATCAAGAGCTTTCATCCCAATACCCCGCATCACCTATTCGCACAGAGAGTAAATCATTGGAAGATAAGGAAGTCGATGAATCCCTGAATTCAACGTATAGGGAAAAAGTTAGTAACGAGATAATTCAGAGCATTAAGGAGAAGAGGCTTCGAGAACAAGAGACAATCATAACTTCCCAGGATACTGTCCCTATTATCACCCGTGAACAAGGTTTTATTCAGGAATTATTTTCAGGTAACAGTTACAATGATGCATTTCCATCTGTCCAAGATCATAACTCCATATCTCTGGATCATATAACTGAAATTTCGCTAACCTCGGTCAGTAAAAATATTGAGGAAAAAAAATCCTATAACTATACTTTCAGTATTAAGAAGTAAAACATTGCTAAATTTAGTCACCTTATACCGGAAAGCTTGTAATGTGGAAAAGCAAGTAATAAAGGCTAATCAAGATGAAATTTTATGCTGGTACCATTACGTTATTGAGTTTGATAATCAAGTTAAAAACATTATGAAAAATGAGCAGGTTGGTGAGAAAAAAGCGAAAGGACGAATTTATGATTTTATTATTGCACAACTTGGTACTAAACGTAATACATTACAGAAGCAAACCCAAAGAGCAAGACAAATTTATAGGTTATTTGAAAAAATAGGAATTGATAAGATCAAATATATTAAATCATATAGCGCGAACTATACTTGCACGCAAAATTATTTTGGAACACTGAAATTACAATTTTGGAAAAAAAAGTTGAAATAGTTTTTCATAGAAAACGAAATTATTTTACTTAAAATCTGAAATTTTTTGACTACCCAAATTTATTCTTTGATTAAATATACATATAACTAGGTACTTTTTTTACTTCCATATATAGAATAGATTTTGCATAAATCTCAAAAAGTCGAAATACCTCAAAAATCCAAAATCAATTTTGGAAACATATATAGCGCAAACACTATTTCAAAATTTACTAATTCTCAGATTCAAATGATTATAGATCACTTCACCAAAAGGCCTGATATAGAATACACCGATGATCAGGACAATTCTTCAGATGATTTACCCGAAACCGAGGTGAGTATACCTATTGATCAAGATGAGTCAAAGACTCGAAGCTCTACTTTCTCGGAATTATCAGAAGCTTTGGTAAATACATCTACTGGAACCGAGGTAAGTGAAGTAAGTGATACAAAAGCCAATGTAAATAAACCACATTCTTTAATTACTGCTTTATCTGACGATGAGCCAGAAAATTTCTCTGACGACAATGATGATAGGAGCTTCTGTGGGTTTTTTGACGATGATGACAGAGGTTATTATTATGATTTAAATACTGGTGAAACTTATACAAAATCGAACCGTTCAATTTGTGCATATTAATTTATGGCAGAAGCATAGCTATTCGAGCCTACAGTATGCATAAAAATAATTTATCAATCTGATAATAAAGCGAATTTATCTTTTATTACAAAGTAATGAGACTGTCTCTATTTTTTCTGCATATATAGCAAAGCTAGTGTTTTCGACACTTAAAATGGTTAGAAGATTAAGATCAAGTGCTACATGCTTATCACCCGAAGCGATTAGTGATATAATTACGGCTAAAGGTATAGCAAATGCATTACCGATTCTGGCTAAAAAATATAATATATCATATGCCCGAATTCGTGGAATATGGGAATTCGCTATTGCAATAAATAATTAATGTTATATAGCGATTCTTACCGATCAGGAAATTCATATGTTATTTGTGGAAAATGGAGTTTACAATATACTGATAGCGGAGCTAATGTCAAGATACTTAAAATATATTAAAATAATTTCGCAAATCCATAAAACGTTCGATCAGTAATACCGTGGAAATAGGATTTCACAA